ATTGTATTTTTGGAAACCTAGGATTCACAATAGGTCTCTTTGATGTATACTGAATTTCCCCCAGGTGTCCTAAAATGTCCTCAAAGTAAAAATTACCAACAGGATAAAGTTAGTCTTCCGTTATTCTGTTACGGCAATTTTAATTATGCTTATTCCTCCTCTTCCTTTTCATTCTCTTTGCCTCTCCCTTTCTCTCTCCTCCCTCCCCAATTCTGTAACCTCCCTGCCTCAATCTCTCCAGAGGAAAAAAAGGCAATCCAAAAAGTCACCAACACCTCAGTGCAAATTGGCTGAAAGTGCTATTCACACTTAGAGTATTTGCATTTTAAAAGAAGGCTTTGAGAGAGGGAAGCCAACAAAACATTTCTGGGCTTGCTATGAATAACAATCCTCTGTAATGTGGAGTTGATATCAAATTAGCACTAGATAAGGGACAAGGAGCAGACTAGCACGCTGAGTGGTCCAGGAAAGCATCTCGTTCGGGGTCAAGGATGGACGCTTGGGCTGGGGCTAGGGTGGAAGGTGACTTTTTCTGGAGTATATCCGGGAAAAGGATCTGTGAGGATATAAACCAGGGGCCATTTTTAAGGGTCTAATGACAGTGGACCTAAAGGAAGAGCAGGAGATGATGTGAAACCACGAAATCTGGAACTACAACTGCAAGGTTCTCAAACCTAAACAGAGCACAGATGGCTAGACATCTTAATTTCACCCACAAGCTGTCAGATTGTTCCCTTTATCCAAAAACATCTGCCTCCTGCCTGAAACTTTACTAATTGAATGTTCTTTTTATTAATAAACAATCTCTTTTTAGAGTTCTTAGTCACTTTCTTTGTCACTGGGACAAAATACCCAACACCCACAACTTAAAGGAGGAGAGGTTTATTGTGGCTCACGGTTTCCGACCATGGTCAGCTGGCTCCAAGGTGGAAATGACATGGAAGGGCCCAGTGGGCTCAACCCATGGCAGCCAGGAAGCAGAGAGAGGCAAGAGGAGCTGAGGACAAGAATACATGCCCTCCAGGTTCACCCCCTGCAATGACCCAAGTCCAACCAGGGGCACCCCCCACCAAGTGAGCCCTGGTGCACCCACGATCCAGTCATCTTCCATACATGCCAGAGTTCTGAGCGACATTTTATATCTAAACCATGACAAGTTTTAAGGAGAATTATCACTGATTCACATTTTAACATGAACTAGGGGATCGATCCGTCGCTAGCTGTATTTGAAAACGTGGAAATATTCTTAAGGCTAGTCAGGAGGAAGAATTACTCTTGGAATAGGGGGCACTTTGAAGGGCGGGCAGGCCCCGGTTACAACAAGATGGGAGCACTGATGACATCTCGCATCTGAAGTGTTAGAATGATGAGACAAGAGTGGGAGACAATCACAAAACAAGACCCTTTAAAATCAAGTACCCAAGTTTAGATTTTAATTAACAGCACACCCATCTCACAAGACTCCGCCCAGAAATCAGAAGGCGTCCTATGCGGCACAGCAATTGTAGCCTTTCCTCCAGGCAGCCAGCCTCCTGCTCTCCCTATTCCATCTTCTTAGCCTGGTAGCTGAAAACAGCTCACAGGGCCGGAATTGCGGAAGTGCGGTGCTCCTTTCCCTCTGCTCTCCCCGCCCACCCCAGATACTCATCCGAGGGGGCGGGCTCAAGAACGTGACTCATCCCTCATGACCAGAGCAAGGAGCACTTGCGGTGTGACTTGGACAGGAGAGGCCTCTTCTCTACTGCGCTGCGCTAATTCCAGGGCGGCATCGCAGAATGGAGACCAACGCTGCAGCCGGAGCACCGGCCCAGGTCCCAGCTCTGCCATCACTGGTGTAACTTTGGACTCATTCACCTATCTCCGCGTGGGCCAATATAAGCAACTCTGTCCTAAATTTCTTGTGGACATAGGACAACTTAATACATCTAATGCACACAGAACAATGCCTGGTACATAATGACCATTCAATATTTATACTTTCTACAACTGAATTATAAATCTCTAATTAGAAATGTCTAGTGATAGACATCCCAGTCGATTTTTACTAAGCTCGTGTGTCTGGTTTTGTGTCTTGTTGTTGTTGTTGTTGTTGTTGTTTTTGGTACCGGGGAGTGAACTCGGGGCCTTACACTTGCAAACCAGGCGGTGGAACCACTGAGCTAAATCTCCGACCCTGTGTGTCTGTTTTTCTAGCCAAGGAAAAATTTTTTTTTCATTTTTTGTATCTACAGTATGTGATTTTTTAAAAACTTTTATTATCCAGGTGTGGTGGTGCATGTTTGTAACCCTAATCCCAACATTTAAGAGGCCGAGGCAGGAAGATGGTAGTGAGTTGCCAGCCTGAACTACAAAATGATACCCTATTTCAAAACAACAACAAAGCCTTACAGGCACTAGGAGATACACCGTATATTTACGATAAATGCATGAATAAGGCCGACACAGAGATTCCTCTCTAGGGAAGATGGGATTCCAGAAAAATCCCAAGTGACCGTGCACCCCATGTTTCTGGCTTAGAGACCCCAGATGAAAAGCTGAGATGACAGAGATTTTTCTGTGGGATGAACCTTGGTGGTGGCAAAGAAAGCAATCGCCCTATTGTTTGAGGGTAAAGAATTAAAGATCTGTAAGGCAATGGGAGAAGAAAAGATCTTCCTTCCACATCCAGATCGGATCAACCCCACCTGAAAAGATTTTGTTCTCTCATGTCTTTCATAAAGCGAAATGAGATGGATCCAGCAAGACGAGTGAAGTCGTTCACTGGATAAGACTCCGGATAACTGCCAATGGTGAACGGAAGGAATTTTGGATTATTCATTGTCTACATGCAGGAAGCTCACTGGGGATCCTGAAGGGCATCTAGCACAGCATTTACCACGATGGTGGTACGCAACGAATGTTAGCGCGCTCCATAAATGACAGAATAAAATAATGAACAAATGACAGGAGACTCAATCAATCAATCATGGAGATTAATCTTCAAGTCACACCTTGAAGGTGGCTGATTGGTGTCACTTCCCCAACAGCATACCAAGGAACACAGTTAAGAGATGCCAAACGGGTTGTAGTCATTTTCACTGAAAAAGGCTCACACTATACTGCTCACATTTTTAAAAATTGACTTATTAAAGACTGTTTAGCTTTGGTTAACAGCATGGAACATTTTTCTCCTGCAGAGTGTTTAGTAGGCTGGCTCTGACTGCCCAGGAATTGGAAGAACTGAATGATCTTGAAATTTGAAACCAAGGTAGAATTGAGTTGTCGGCTCAGAAGGCTTTTAAAAAATACACACTGAAAGAAAAAAATGTGAGATAATGAAAAGATGGAAATTAAGTGGTTGTAGATGGGGAGGGGAGGAGGGGGTGAAGGGAGGGCAGGGACAAGGGGAAAAAATGAGAACCAAGACTTGTCATGTAAAGGTACAAGATCCTAACAATGAATGTAACTGTACTGTATCCCTAAAATGTACCAATAAACTCAATTAAAGCTGGAAAAAAAAATAAAAATACACACTGAAAAACAAGAGCCAAGCTGGGCATGGTGGCACATCCCTGCAATCCCAGCACCTGGGAGGCTGAGGCAGGAAGATTGCCAGGCGTTTGAGGCCAGCCCAGGCTACATAGTGAAGTCATGGCCAGCATGAACTACATAGGGAGACACTCTCTAAAACAAATCAACCAACCGACCAAGAGCGGCTTCTGGTATGTGGTTATCTATGACCTTTTAAAAATTTTATGTGGAGAACTGGAGTTTTAGCTCAGTGGCACCAGCCTGCCTCACAAGCACAAGATCTTGAGTTCAAGCCCCGGTACCCGTCCCCCGCAAAAATGATGCGGGGTTAAATACTATTAGTGTTTTTATTTCTTTAATATGTATATTTGTCATAATAATATATATAGGGCTGGGGATGTGGGTAAATGGTAGAGCATCTGCCTAGTATGTACAAGGCCAGAGTTTGATCCCCAACAGTGCATACATTAAAATTTACTATTTTAAATGCACAATTCAGTGGCATTATATACATCAGCTGTGTTGTACAACCCACCACCACTATCCATTTCCAGCTCTTCATAGTCACAACAGAAACGCTCCCATGAAACAACTCCAAGTTCCTCTTTCTCTAGCCCCTGGCAACTTCTATTACACTTACTTTTCTCTCTTTCTCGGTGTGCTGGGGCTGAAGCCAGGGCTTCATACATGCCAATCCCCAGATCCCGCATTTCCTGTCTATGAATCTGCATATCCCAGGCACCTTGTAGAGGTGGGATCATAAAATACTTGTCCTCTTGTGTCTAACATACTTCATTTGGCATTATGTTTAATGGTTAGCCCCCCGCTAGCAGGTATCAGCCATCTATTAATTTTGATATTCCATTGCATATATATTACACATTAGGATAAATTCTAATAAGTGTTATTTTGGAAGGTTGTGTCCATTTTAAGGCATTTGTCTGTTGTGGCTAAGTTGCCCTCCAAAAAATTAATAAATTAACTCTAAGAGGTGGGAACAAGAATTCCCTCTTCTCCCCAGCCTCTATAGGAATAGGTGTTTTTCCCCCCTCAAGCCTTTTTTTTTTCTACAACCAGTGCTGAAGTGATACTTACAGAAAGGAATTGTCTCTCATAATTGTTTCCCTAATTCCTAATGTGGCGCCTGCCTCAGTCTCAGTTCAAGGAACACTGAGTAAAGAATGAATTCATAAATGTATATTCTTCTAAGTTAATCATGAAGTGGATATGGAGAAATGATGGGGGGAAGGAGGGAGAGAGAGAGGGAGAGAGACAGCGAGAGAGGGGGGGGAGAGAGGGAAGG